CACTACCACAATCACCATCACCAGCATCACCATCACCACCACCATCACTACCATATCCACCATCACTATCACCATCACCACCACCTCCATCACTACCACCATCACCACCACCACCATCACTGTTACCATCATCATCACCTCCACCATCACCACCACCATCACTACCATATCCACCATCACCATCATCACCACTATCATCACCATCTCCATCACTACCACAATCACCATCACCAGCATCACCATCACCACCATCATCACTACCATATCCACCATCACTATCACCATTATCACCACCACCTCCATCACTACCACCATCTCTGTTACTGTCACCACTTTCAACACCATCATCACCACCATCATTGTTACCATCACCATCACCACCATCATTATCGTCATCACCACCTCCACAGTTACCATAACCATTATCATCACTGCCATTATCTCTACTTTACAACAGAGAGTCCAAGAGTTTGTGATTTGCCCACGATCATATTTCTAGTATAGACTGGAATAAAAACTCAAGGCCTAGTGTCATGACTTCAGAGACTTGAACTTTCCCCTCTTAGTCTTTATTTTCTGATTACGCAATAACATAAAAAAATTCTTGTTGTAAAAGATTGAGACAGTGTAGAAGGCTACAGAGGAAAATGTGAGGGTCCCTACCCTTACTCTTTCCTCACTCCTGCCTTATTCTCCAGAGGTAACCACAGCAAGCTAATTGGTGTGCACTCTTCCTATCTTGTCTCCAAACGGGTCACACATATAAAATTGCTACACATATACTTGTGTGTTCTCTTTGACATAAGTAATAGTAACAGTGCCTGCCTTGTAGGATTGATGAGGAGGTTAAATAAAATCATGCTTTTAAAGCACCTAATGTGCTGCCAGGAAATATACCAGGTTCCTAATAGTCCTCTCATCAACTCCAAGAGGTGAGTGCTGTTAGTCTACCCATTTTATAGTTGGAAGCTGAAGATTGGAGAGCTTGTCACCTTCACAAGATTATACAGTACTGGAACTGGATTTTAATCCAGTAAGACTTAACCCAGTGTCTTCACACTTTTTGACCACCATTTTATGTGGCTTTTTATAAACATTTTTCAATTTGGTTTTCTTCTCTAAGTGATACCAGTTTTAACTCTTTCTATTAGCTTGAACTCTTTCCATGTAATTTATATAAATTTACTTCATTCTTTTAATGGCTACATATGATTAATATTTCATTTAAGTACGTCCTCGTATGGGTTGTTTTCCGCTTGTTTGTTCTTTGCTGTTATAAATAATACAGTACTGAATATCCTCAATACATATACTTTGGGGTACGTATGTGAGAAATTCTATAGTATAGCTTCCTCCTAGAAGTAGAGGTCAGGGGTATGTGCATATTAAATTTTAATTGATATTGTCAAGTTGCTTTCGAAAAAGGATTTTGCTCACCAACAGTGTGTGAGGATGCCTGTTTTCTCACATTAGTCTTCTTTTAATCTTTGCCAATTTGATGAAGAAAAATATTTTTTCTGAACTGTATTTCTCTGGTCACTGGTAGGGCTGAGCTATGTCTTTATTTTTTGGATCGTCTACATTTTTCTCTGGAAATTGCCTTTTGCCCATGTTTCCACTTATTTTTTCATTGTAGGCACTCTTTATACAAGGGCACTTCAAAAAGTTCATGGAAAAATAGAATTAAAAGACAATACAAACCTTTCCATGAACTTTCTCAAGTACCCTCTTATATTCTAAATAATAATCCTTTGTCTGAAATGTGTGGCAAATATTTTCTCTCTTATTTTTCTTTTAGCTTTGTTTTATATCTAGAGATTTTAATTTTTTCATTCACAAGTCAGCCAGTATTTGTCTTTATTGTTTCTAGGTTTTGCATTGTTTAGGAAAGTCTTCCCAACCCAAGTTAATTAAAATAGTCTGCTCTATATTCTTCTAATACTTCCATAGTTTTGTTTCTACTTTTAGATTTGTAAGCTTTGTAGAGTTTATTTTCATATGGGTTATAAGTTAGGTATCTAGATTTATCTTTCTATAAGTGGAGAACCAACTGTACTCACCATTTATTGAATAATCCATTCTCTCAACTCATTTGAGACACCACCTTTATCATAAACTAAATTCTCTAGTATGTATGGCTTGCAAGTGGTTTATCTCTTCTGCTCCATTGACTTATTTTCTACTCCTACACCAGTATTAAAGTACTTTAATTATTTTAGCCTTAGGGCAAATTTTAATAGCAGGAAGGGAAAATCCCCTCTCATTGCTGCTCTTTTTTAAGAAATGTCTTTGTATTTTTGTGCATGTTTTTCTTCCATGTGAACTTATAGAAGCAGACTATCAAGGTCTATAAAGGAAACTCTTGTGAGTATTTTGATTGGAAATGCATCACTGTTACTTCTCACTGTGTAACAGAAACTCAAAGATTACTCAGGGCCCAAATATTAAAAGCAATGAGAAGCCCAAAGGGACTGCATTAAGAAAACGCCCTCAAGAAGGGAGAAACAGGTGCAGCCCTGAGTCAGTATTTGCTTCAGCTTTTATTGTAAAGACAAGGAAACACAAGAGAAAAAGCAGCTTAATCAATCATTTATCAAAGGAATGAAAAGAAATTGGCTATGAGGCGTTCTCTGGGAAACATCTTGAGAAACAAAGGAAAGGGAGTGAAGCTGGATAAGAAATGACCTTAATGTTCTTATCTAATCGAGCAGAAACTGTTTGCTCTTTCCAGCACGTGCTGTTTTCAGCGCTTAGGTTCTGCATAAGTGCATTTAGGACTTTTGCCCTTGGTGCACTCCCTGTTCTTTGTCAGGCCCGTGTGCTCCCACACATCACATTAATAGGTTCATTTTAGATAAATCATCATCTTTACAATATTTAGTTTTCCCATCCAGAAATATTATATGTTTCTATTTAGGTCTTTTATGTCCATCAGTTCTACAATTTTCCCAATGTAGATCTTGCTTTGGAGGGTTTATTTGTTATGACAAATGGGGTCCTGTTTTCCCATTACGTTCACTTAATTTTTATTGCTAATGAATAGGAAATAATGGTTTTTATATATTAATATTTAATCTAGCCACTTGACTGAACTCTTTTATTAGTGATATTTATACTTATTCCTTTTTCTTGACTTATCACATTGGCTAGGACTGAGGCCGTGTACAATGATATTGGTGAAAGTGTACATGTTTGTCTTGTTCCTATGTTTAAAGAGAATGCTTCTAACGTTTCACCACTGACTATGGTAAATACATTTTATCAGCTTGAAGAGATGTCCTAGCTTACAGAGAAATGTGCCTTTCACTGCTGACTACACCAGATTCCTGTCAAGGAGCCTTTATTCTTTCACTTATATTTTCCTTGAGAATTCAGAGATTGTCCAAACTCATTTGGACCTCCAAGCACTCATACCCTAGCCGAGCCAACCTGGTGTAAAACTGAGTAGTTTCTTCTTTCTTCCTCCTTTCACTCACATTCAACCCCAGATGTTCTAATGGCAGGGGCTACTTTGTGTTAATATTTCCTACACTTTTTTTTTTTTTCCTTTTTTTTTTGTCTTTTTTCGTGACCGGTAACGGGACCGCAACCTTTGGTGTCGTGCCCGCACTGCACTCAACCAGTGAGCTGACCGGTCTCTATATGGGATCCGAACCCTCGGCGGGAGCGCCGCCGTGCTCCCAAGCGCCGCACTCTACCGAGTGCGCCACCGGGCCGGCCCCCTACACTTTTCTCATCACTCTCACCATCACCCTTCCCCCCCAGCAAAAAAAAAATTGTTTTAAATAAATAAAAAGTAAGATGTGGACAAGGACAGGAGTACCCCTTCTGGGATTTTCTGACAGGCACCACTGAAAGGTTTTATTCCTAGCTTTTAATTTAAATATACTTCAATTTTATTTTCCACTTGATTGTCTTGAATAGCTGACTACCATCTCATGCTCTGGTTGCTAAGTGGCTTTTACAGTTTCTACACAATGGTGTGAGAAAGGAATCAGTCACCTGACATCTGATTTCCTGTTGCAGTTTTTTGCAGGTTTCAAATGCCAGTGCAGGCACTTCTAGCTCATTCTCAGCCCTATCTTGCACTTGATTAGTGCAAAAGAAATGTTTTCACACTTGATTGATAAAAATGATTTAATCACAGAGTACAATTCATAATTTTTAGGTGTTGAAGATTTTTTGCTAGGCTGTGAGTGAAAGGATTTTGTTTTTGTCAGGCTTGCATTTGGAACATAACTCTAATGTGACTTGGCACCTGTCTAGAGAATTGTCCCTGTGTCCAGTGACACTTTGCTTTGGGGACGTCAACACCTGCTGTGATGGCATCTGTCATATTTAGGAATGTGAAATGCCAATGAATAATACAGAGCCACTTCAGTAAAATGCCTTCCTCAGAAAGCTGTTAATATAAGACACTGGCAAAAGATTGTTGTAACCTGCATAAAAGAGAATTTGGGCTCCTTCTGAGATAAAAGCAGCAGATGATGTCTTTTACTATGGTTTTCTCACCTTAAAGCAAACTGGGTAGATTTTATTATTTTCAGATTGTCTAGCCAAGAAAGCAAGAACCTGCTAAATATAAGGATCATTTATTTTTATGGGTTTAGTATAAGACAACATTAGCCTCCAGCATAGATTTGGATGTTAATGTTTTTGAAGTGGGGTTTTTGGGAGACAGCGTGGACTCATCTCAGACACATGGTATGTAACTAGCAACCCTCCAGGAAAGCCCAGGTCAAGAGAGTACTGGAAGCCAGCAATGCCAAGAGGCAAGGCAGCCCCATCATGGCCAGCATGAGTAGCTGGTCTTTGAGACCTTCTTAGTTCCAGTGAGGTTGGCTTTACCTTCTAGGGCTGTTGGTGTGGGAAGTCTGGTCAATTGCACAATTATTTTTCCTTCCTCATCATCTTCTCTTTTCTTCTAAATCCCCAAGTCCAAAAAAGTCTGGGAGCCAGACAAGGTATAGCCTAAATATTCCCTACCTTTTCTCTTGCAGGCAGGTGACAAACATTACCACCCCAGCTGTGCACGATGCAGCAGATGCCATCAGATGTTCACAGAAGGAGAGGAAATGTATCTTCAAGGTAAGATGGACACAAGAACACAGTAAGTTTTCCCCGCTTGGGGAAAGAAAACCTTGCTATGTTTGTTTTTAGAGGAGGCATTTTCCTAGCTGCAAGGGTACCCGAATCCTAGCTGAATGTGACCAAAAGTAACCTCATCAGTTAGTATTAATTAGCCAAGCAATTGACATGCTGGCAGTGAGCCCCTGAGGCTGTGTGACTGTTGCTTGGAATGAAGGAGTCGGACTCAATGTCTGATGCCATGGATTGAGGGAAGAGTGAAAATCAGCAGCACCCCGTCCTAAGGAATGTGCTTGGGAAACAAAAGATCAAAAGGGAGAAAGCATTTCCTGAAATTTCTAGAAACATTCCTTATTTGATGGCTGCTTTGTCTTTTCTCCCTTCTCTATCCTATGAGAAGGACTTTTGAGGCTTCCCAGGCTGCTCTTCTCTGTGCTTTCAAGAAGAATATCTCGTATTTGGTGAATTACCTCATTAAGATGACATAGCTCTCATATCGAGAAAGAAACAGAGAGAGAGAGCAAGAGAAAACACACCCAAAGTCTCTAAAAGAGAAATTGAGAAATTTCTGATGGCAAGGAGATACTCATTACCAGGGAGCCATTACATTTTTTTTTTAATTGGAAATAATTTTGAGAAATTTTCCCAGTGAAACTATGATCAGTTTTTATCTCCTCTAAAATTCTGAAGCTTCTCAGAGAGGCTTTAGGAGGGAATTCTCTTCTAGTCAAACAGCACCATCTGTGCCAGCATTTTACTATTTTTAGCTGGAAAGAGTCATTAATCAGACAAGGGTTTATCAGTAAAATTAGCAAGAACCTTTAAGAGCTTTTGCTTGTTCGGTTTTGGTAATCACTGGGTCTTAACTGCCTTTGCATGTCATTTCTTCATTTCTTTTTGCACATAACACTATGTGTGCTTTTAATGAATGGTTTGCTTTGCTGTCTCAATTTTGTGTTTATGCAATTGTCTACAGAAATGTTTCTTATGTATTAAAGCAAAGCCTTCTTTGGCTATTCTCTCCTTTAAAAATGCTAGCTAGATGAGAAATTGACAACCCAAACATCCTCTTAGCTTTAGAATGCTCACTCTTAAAAATATCAGTGAATTTTGAGGTCCTCCACAAAGACAAGTGACAAGTACCACATCTGTGGTCTCATGTGGGCTTTATGTGACACGTTTTCCCAAGGACAAGCTGGACATCTGCAGTGGCAATAGGCAGGTGTCACTTTGCATTTTTCAGTAGGAAGCAGATTTATTCTTCACTGGGTCTCTAGGCTTTGTCTTAGATCTCAACATGTCAATTACAGCACTCATATAACAAAGACACAGGAGTGCATGTCCACCCTGCATCTGCTGGAAACTGAGGCTCAAAGGCTCCAGGCACACTTTGCACATTCCAGGTGGCTCTGAAGCTGAATAGAGAGGAGGCTTCAAGCTGTGCACAAACACAGCACATTCACACTGTGGATAAACTATTGTCTGTTAAGATGGGCTACACTCAGAATCTCAGGGGCTGTTCTAAATCTCCTCTGGGATGGCTTCGGTACCCTTTGCCTGCCTCTTGGCTCATCCTTGAAGAATGAGCAGTTTCATCTTCCTCAGCATCTGATGTTCTCTCTCAGTCACGTTGCTTGTGTGTCTGACCTCCGGAGAACAATGTTGACATTATGTGCAGACCCGGTGCTCTGGCCAGTGACCCCTGCTCAGGAGAACCTTCACAGCGAATGCTTCGCCTGGGCCTGAGCCTGACCCCTTGGCACAGCACATTAGGAGATTTCCTTTGCTTTGTAGTCAGTCTTTGAGCCAGTGTTAGTGCTGAAGGGACCTGTATGTCTGTGTGGTTTTTGTTTATTTGATTTTCTTTTTTTTTTTTTTTCTGTGAGGCAGAGCTGAGTTAAACAAGATGGAAATGATAGATAGGGATTAAAGTACTATTCTGATATAAAATTTATTCTTCCTTGTCATTAATTTAAAACTATTTTATCTCAGTTTTATAAAATAATTCATAAGTTACACCGTGAAACGTAGAAAGTCTAATGTCCATACCAAGAATCTTATTATGTTTATATGATTTGCTCACTGGTTTCAATTTAGTGACTTTTTTTGCTTAAGTCTCTTTAAGTGCTCATTCAAGTTCTTCTGTCCATCTCCACACTCAAGTGTACCCTCATATGGACGTAGGGCTTACAGATCAGCCTAACCCATAATCATATAAGTGACATGTCATACGAGGGATCTTCGAAAAGTTTGCGGAAAGATTCATATTATCTTTTAATTCTATCTTTTCATGAATTCTTTGAAGTACGCTCATATATCTAGTCATACAAAAGCATATTGGCAGGCACTGGACTCTTACAAGGTAAGGGCTTTCTATTAGAAATAAGTGTTTTCCTTAATTCTGTGATACTGGTACCGTCCATGAAAATGCTCCATAATCTAAGAAAGTGAGACTATTGACTCAACAACAGAAAATAACACCTAAATTGTTACTTCACTAGTTTAAAAGTGATGACTTTTTTAAAAAAGTTAATTAAAATGTTGAAGACTAAAGGAAACTTTGGGATTTGTAACATAACTTTCA